TGTCTTTTATTTACCATTGTGGGAAAAAAAGCTGAAAATATGTTGTGCAAGTTACAAATGTAACTTATTAATAAATTCTAGAGCATATATTCTAAAATAAACAAGAGTGGATAGTTTTATTTCTAACTAACTTGCTGTTAACAGAAAAAAAAAAAAAAAGAGCCAATGACTGATTAGGATTGATTGTGCTGAATCTAGAAAAATTCTTTCAAAATTAGAAAAAATGACTATTGGACATGATTATGATTAAATCCTCTGTATATATTTAAAAATAGATACTAATTCTCTACTTTTTTCTCTTTTACACTGTACAAGTTTCATCTCTTAGGAAAACTAAACAGAAGCATCTAAGAGAGAAAATATTTAAAAGATTCAATTATTTTGTACCTCTCTGCAATGCAGGTGCATTGAAAAGTGTTCTAAATTGAAAGTGCTCCCAATGCACAATGGTAAAGTCACATAATATAGACAAATTATGCTTTCAATTTCAGATGTCATATTATTCTGGAATTTGAGCTTAGTGTGAATCAAAATCATGAAGACAATTTGAATGAATACATTTTTCTCTTATCCATATGAATCTTACCATAATATTTAGAACATGTAGGTATACTTGAAAGAACATTCCAAGAATAATAAACAGAATTCATGTAGATGTTATTTTAAATTTACATATGGTGAAACTGCGGGATCATGTTTGAAATATAATATGCAGAATCTGAATGCATCAGTATTGCTGCCATTATTTACTTAGTATCTGTGTACTGTTTGCAATGTATTAATCTTTGAGTATAAAGCAGGGTGGCAAATTTTCTATGTAAAGAACCATACAGTAAATATCTCAGCTTTTCTAGGAAAAAATAAAAATGGCATCACAGCTATTCAACTCTGCTGTAAAGTTGCCATAGACAATGCAACCAGTTGGTCATGGTGTTCTAATAACATTTCACCAAAACACTAGGAGGGTTGAACTTGGCTCTGGGTCACGGTCTAGTACTTTAAGATCCTCACAATAGTTCTCTTTATGGTCAAAGAGTCCATTTTCTATAATTAGTCAGATAGTTTAAGACTGCTAAAAATTGATGGTATTATTAGAACATATAACTTAGAGAGTTACCAAAATACTAACTGTCGGAAATAGTGGTGACTTCCTCATTATGATACAACCAGCTGACAACAGGTGCAGGTGAACTGCTAACTCTGCAAACCACTTCTGCATCCTCTCCTTGTTTGAATTCTTGAGGAGATACCACTTCTCTGAAAGTGAGCTTTTCTGTATTGGAAAAATAAAAAAAATATATTAAAAAAATATTATTGCTTATTTCTTCTAATAACATATTCCATAATTTGTTTATTGAGTCTATAATAAAATAATTAGATGAGCCTAGATTTTTTAAATATTTTAAACCATATAATTTCATTCCTCTCCTGATAATTTTCCATCTCACTGAGTATAAAATCTAAAATTTTTATAATTCCCTAACCCAACCAAAAAACAAACTTACTGCCGTCGAGTCAGATTTGACCCATGGGGACCTCTCCTTGGGTTTCCAAGACGGTATCACTACAGAAGTAGACTGTACCCTGTATGAACTAGATTTAACCCCATCAATGTGATGCCAATATGTTCTCTTTCTCCCTGATCCCTCTGCAATCTGTCAGTGTTTTGAGCACTCGAGGCTAATTCTGTCTCTGAGGCATTTGTGTTCCATTAAATTCCTTCAGATTTCTGCCCAAATTCCTTATATAAAAAATAATTATACTTAATACTTTATCTTTCTCTATTTTCTGTTCCTAATTAACTTCTTCACCACAGAATTACATAGCATGCATAGCAACCATCTACATATCTTTTCTCCGTGGCCGATTTATTGCTAGTCTTTTTTCTGCCACTTTAAATACATGCACCACATGGGCAGGGAAATTTTCTGTTACTCCTTTATGAATCTCTAGACTAAAGGTCTGCTATATAGCAGATACTTACTTAGTAAGTGTATTGAATTGCTGAATGAATTAATGGACACAGAAAATTTTGCTTGATGAGAACCTTTCAAAAAAGTAAGTTATTCTTGAAAAACATTCTTCTTTTTCCCTCTTTACCACCAAAAAATAGTAACACTAGGCATTTTCCTTTGACGCTATTTAAAATAATGTAAAATCTTTGCAAATATTATGTCTAGGAAATGACCATTTTAATTTAAGTTTCTGCTAGTCACACAAAGAAAGAGGATATCTTTTCTGAAGGAACTTCGAACTTCGTATGGAAAAAATACTAAATCAGGAAAAAATGAGGGAAACAATGTGCCAAGAAATTGTCCTAGTAATCAAACAGGAATCCCTACTATGGTAATGTTATATTGAATTCAACTCTGCTACCCTCACATACTCTGTTTCTAGAATCAAGAAAAAGCTATAATGAAGACACAGTTTATAAGCAAGCATTCTAGAAATTTATAGATTTTTCACTATACTAACTATCCCATGTGGATTGTAAGCTACTGTTCTAAAGATTTTATGCAAATTTAATGTTGTTGTTGTTATGTGCCATAGACTCGGACACGACTCATAGCCACCCCTCTTTGGGTTTCTGAGGCGGTATCACTACAGAAATAGATTGCCCAACCTTCCTTGCAAGGAGTGGCTGGTAAGTTTGAACCACCAGCCTTCTGGTTAGCAGTCAAGTGCCTTAGGCAGTATTGAATGTAGTCTTCAAAAATACTCTATGAAGTAGGTACTGTTACTGTATCCACTTTATAGATGAGGAAACTGAAAACAAAGGGGCTAAGCAATTTGTTGGAGGTCACAAAAATAAGGAGTAGAGTCTGATTTTAAGTTGGCAGACTTCCCCAACAATGTTCCTAAATAGGTTAACGATTCCTAAATATAAGAAAGAGAAAGCACGATGGATAGGAATAAATCAATCTCAAGACATAAAATAAAGTTTAAGTGTGGAAAACCCCGTTAATTTAAATGCTTGGTGTAGAAGGCAGCTACATATTATTCTGAGTTTTCAATTTTCTCTCTGGCTAATCCTTCTCAGGGAGCTCTGGTAGCATAGTACCTAAGGCACTTGACTGTTAACCAGGAGGCTGGCGGTTCAAACCTACCAGCCACTCCTCAGAAGGAAGGTTGGGCAATCTACGTCCACAGTGATACTGCCAGGAAAACCTGAGGAGGGGTCACTAAGAGTCAAATCTGACTTGACCGCACATAACAACAACAGCAACAACAATCCTTGTCAACTTACTTTCCTCAGTCCTTACTCTAGCTGGTTAGTGCTATAAAACATGCAATTTTTATTTGTTCTAATCATGAACCTTTATTTTAGAGGAACAACACTAATCCTACTAAACTTCATACCACAAAATAAATTATTTTCTATTTTTTGCAACAGTGTTTTCACAGCAAGAGACAATTAAAACATTTTCATATATATTACTTAAAAAATAGACTTAGCTCCATGTTTATATGTTTATGTAAATATATGTGTTTATAAACACCCATTCCCTAACACCTGTTGTATTTCAGAAGTTAACTTATTCTAGAATAAAGTATAAAGGAGCCCTGGTGGCACTATGGTTAACCACTCTGCTGCCAACCAAAAGATTGGAGGTGGAACGCACCCAGCCGCTCTGCTGTAGAAAGACCTGTGATCTGCTCCTGTAAAGATTAAAACTTAAACACTATGGGGCTATTCTACTTTATCACATGTTGTCTCTATAAATTGATAACTGAGTTGCCATCACCCAACAGCAAAAAATGTAAATATAAATAATTTAATATCTGTGAAGGTCTAAGAATACTGCCTAGCACACAGTTCTCAAATTACTATTTAAATATATTTTATTTTGTTTGATTTTTTAAAATTAGAAGCAGTACTTTCATTCAACTAAAACTTATAAGCACATGACTTACGGTAAATTTCCAAAACGACCGTAGCTTCTTGAGTCTGTCCTTTGGCATCTGTTGCTTGACAACGATATATCCCTGCATCTTCTATATTTGCATTGTATATGGTTAGCCTTGACCTAACACCATCCTTTTGCACTGCTACTCTCTGTGTAGAAATGATCTTCTCTCCTTGAGGATTATACCAATCTATAGTCTCAGGTTCACCAATTGCTGCAAAAAGCCACAGTAAAGAAACATTTGAAAATATGCTTCAAGTGTTTGTTTTGACATTAAATTTACTGTTATGCAATAATGTTGTTCACAATTCGGAAGAAAATGTTCATAGTAGGAAGACTGGAAATCTGAAAATCTTACAAAATTGAAAGCAAACACAAATGCTAGCACACATGTTCATTTTATTTAGCCAACTTTGAGGATTCAATCACATTTGAGTAAGCAAAATCCAAAAGTCCCATAGGAAACATCCTGTATGGTATTTATGTTATCAACCCTTATTTTAGTAACTCGTAATTATTATTACGCTTAAGTGCTGATATTGCCTTGGGCCTGAGGCAGATAAAAATCTTACTTGACAGATATATCTGACAAAACATACTATTACTAAGATGATTTCACAGGCTAAATTCTCTTTGCCAGGGTCATAAGGTACAAATGTTTTCCCTAATAAAACGCAGAGCTCACAATAATGGAAATACATTGCAAAACTACTTTGGCCTTTTATAATACTGAATTTTGAGTTAATTTATCAACTTATTAAACTTGTACAGATAAAGACAATAAGGATGTTTAAAATACAGTGCTAATTTCTTTTTCTCAACTGAAATGAGTAGTTTTATCCTTTTAATCTAAAACTGCTAACTATTTAGTCATATGATAATTAGGTGCATTGAAATGATACTTATACAGCAAGGCAATTACAACCAAATCATTACTGGGTAAACATTTATTTCAGTTTTTCAATTCAGCATCTAGGTTATTATCTTCTCTGTGAAAGCTGGAGATTCCTATGCTTGCTTTCAGTCACCAAAAGGGTGTATTTCACCTAATTACTTGAGATAATTTGTGGAAGCAGGATAAACCGTTAACACAAAAATAGCTGGGAAAAATGCATAATGTTAACCCCTCCCACACACACACCCCCACACAGAAACACTGCCATTGAGTTGATTCCATAGTGACCCGCATAAGGTTTCCAAAGCTATAAAAGATGACTGCTTCAGCTTTCTCCTTTGGAACCCTTTAAATGAAATTATTCTCTTCTTTTTCCCCCACTATAAGTAGTTTTAGTTGGGCAATCCTACTTCCGTAGTGATACTGCCTCGGAAACCCAAGGAGGGGTCGCTATGAGTCGGGTTTGACTCGACGGCACATAACAACAACAACAACAACATAAGTAGTTTTATAAATAAATTACTCTCTTTTCTATAATAAATTTGATATGCTTGAACAAAAATTTTTAAAAGGTTAACAAATTTTAAATAAATATTAAGTATGTATGTTCATGTTTTCTTAACAGAACCATGAAACCAGAGTATTTACAGGATAAATTCATTGTTTTGGATACAGGATGGGAGGCATTGGTTGTATTGTCCTCTCTCTAGCAAAGTTTAAAAAAAAAAAAAAAGATTAAAAAATGCATCACTTCTAAATTACATGATTCAAAATATCATTTCAATTAGTAATTTTAGTAGGGCACATAATAATTTGGACATTTTCACTGTTAATTATTTGCCGTAAAATTTCATTATAAAGGAGAAAACTCTAATACATAGAGTGTAATCTGAATTTTCATTAAGCAATCATAATCTTTTTGTTTTTCTTGCATCTCAAATTATATATTCCGTCTACATTTTCCACAATATTTTACTGATAATTTTGGACTACTGGACAGTTTATTAATAAATACTATTAACCACTTTACTTGCTTAAAGGTTAGCTATAAAAATTAATTTGCTATATGTAATATGCTCTCATTTACATCTCTGAGGGCCTGGTCACTTTCCAGTTTAAATCTAAGACATATTTTATTAGGCTTTAAATGTGTAGTATGTTTTAGGTTGTATGGCAACTCTAGAGTCACATCTATATATTCACAATTGTGTTGCTAGGAAAGAATATGCATGCCAATATTCTGATTCACATTGATTTCACTTATCTTTAGTTTTAAATGGTTATTTTACTACAATATTTAATATAAATAAAGCCACTTTCATAGCTACAGTATAACTTTTTGTTATACATCTTTACATAAGTATGTTAATCCCTACCTTCAAATTATGTCTTAATCTAAACCTATATAATACACAGAAAAATTTACATTGTATGATTTATATTGTAGGAGCTCTGGTAGCATACTGCCTAAGGCACTTGACTGCTGAACAGAAGGCTGGTGGTTCAAACCCACCAGCCACTCCTCGGAAGGAAAGTTGGGCAATCTACTTCCATAGTGATACTGCTTCAGAAATCCAAGGAGAGGTTGCTATGAGTTGGGTCCGACTTGACAGCACACAACAACAACAACAACATGAAAACAAAAATAAAACAATTTTATTTTCAAAATTCAAGTGTAAACTATTTAATTATTCTGTGACTATGTGACTCAATTGAGCTGTGCTTGTGTGTGTATATCTATGTGTAGATAAAATATGGATAATGAAACTTAGAAACATTGACGATTTATCTGTAATCTAATGCCAGAGCTGCCACTGTCATGATAAATGATGTTAAACCAATCTCTTCCTTACTTTCTGCTTTTTTATTTGTCATATACAAAATATTTTCAATAAATCCATCAATTCAGAATTTTAAGAATCATGAGTTCTACAGAAAAGTAATGGTTACTTAATTTTTATAATATATATTTTATGCCTCCACATTACAGATATGATTTATCATTTTTCTATATGATTTTTATTTATTTATTAATTTTAGTAATATAAATAAATGAAGTCACTCTGAAGACAACTTTAGCAATGCATTTTATATCATTCGTGGCTATTTTAATGCAAAATCTTGAATTTTGTATTCAATATAATCAAAGGTAGAAGCAATTCTAAATTATCCTCATAAGCAATTTTGTCATTAAACAAATATTTATTTTTACAAGACTTTAAATATGAAGGCTTGTATACATTAAAATGACTATAACAAATATTATTATAAGTAAAAGGTAGAATTTGTTTATTTGTGAATTTTATGCTTAAATGTTTTATAAATGATTTCTGTAGGTGGATGATTGAACTTAATGAGCTCTATATGATACTTAAATTTCTTTTGTTGTTGTTGAACATTATATATCACCAAAGATCAGCATTTTAGCAATTTCTCCATGTACAGTTCAATGTGACATTGATTACATTCTTCAAGTTGTGCTATTATTTTCACTATCCTTTTCCAAATTATTCCACAAAAATTGTCTTAAATTCACTTCCCCCTAAGCTTCCAGGCAACTATTCAAATGGCTTTGTCAATTTGATCTCATATAGATATTTCTTTTGAAGAGCTCAGTGCTGAATGCCAACATACTTTACTAGTTAAAATAAGTTTTGTTTTTTTTTTCCTTCCCTAGAGCAGACTTAAGGGAATAGTTTTGGTTTAAAGTTTAAAGGTTACCTCAGGGCAATAATTTCTGGGTTCATCCAGCCTCAATGGCTCAAAAAGTCTGGATCAATGGTTACATCAATCCAGCAACAGCTTTCTTGATTAAATAACTATCAAGTTTAAATTAAAAATGAAAAATAAATATTAACTTTGCAAATAAATGGTTTTGATTTTCTTTGCCTCGAAATTATCATTCAGGTGTAACTACAGTGCAGTGTCCCATATCTAATTTATTTGTTGCATAATTATGGAGGGGTTCAGATATATTTACAGTCATTCTAAAGTTACTGTTTACATAGTAATGCTAGTTCAAATATTTAAAAGTTATACATACATTACAACTTATTTTCAAAATAAATCATTGAAGATTTTTTGTTAATGAAAATGAGTAACTTAAAATTAACAGAAATAAAATTTATGGTGTTTAAAATGCAATTATTAACATTTTTTAAACATTATAGATCCAAAGAAAATATAAGAAATCATGTTGAGAAACTGATTTTTTTAACTACTTAAATTTCAGGCAATATATTTTGAAAATAATTAAGCATAAAATAAGTAATCTGAAAATATTTATAGAATACATACCTGAACATGTGAAGAATTTAGATTCACCCACACTAAGCTCTACTTTGCTAAGTGAAATTGTCACTTGAAGAAGAGCTGAAAGAACAAATTTGAATAACAATTAATTGTTGTTTCAAATATGAATTCCAAGATTTTAAGACTTAATGACCAAACCACAATCATTTTTGTCTCCCATCATTTCTGAATTGCCTATAAAGAGAAAAGGAATTTTTTTAAAAAAATACAATCCAACCACATTGTTGTTTTTGTTATTTGTCATTGAGTCGGCTCTGACTCATAGCGACCCCTCCTTTGGTTTCCGAGGCAGTATCACTACGGAAGTAGATTGCCTCCTCTTCCTTCCGAGGAATGGCTAGTGGGTGTGAACCGCCAGCCTTCTGGTTAGTAATCAAGTGCCTTAGGCACTATGCTACCGGAGATCTTATCCAACCATATTATTATCTATTAAATAATTATGATTTCACAATCAAATCAAATGCATCACTTATTCAAACTATTGTGTTTATTCTGTTAGTCATGTGAATGAGCGCATTAGCTAATCAGACAGATGTTCCATATTCACTGGCTAGGCCTTACATGTGTTCCCATTGGGGGCAGTAGTCAAAGAAAATTGTGTCCATCAGTTGGAAACTTGTTTCAAATAGTAAAATTGACATTATTATTATTATAATAATCATATAAATTAACTACATCTTTACTACCTACTGAAATATTTCAATGAATGGAGGTTTATAAAGGGAAGGGGTATACTATTGCATAGGGAAAATAAAGATTTTCATTTTCATTATAAATTTGTTGCAAATAAATTTGAAATAAAATGGTTGAAAATTCTACAATTTCAGACAAAATTAAAATTATGTTTTAATGTAAATTAATAAGCTTATATTTTTAGTAATATGATGGGGAGGATAGTTTGACCATACCCTAAACTCTTTCTTTACCATTCCTTGCTCCCAGAACTGCATAGCTGAGGTTTCAGGAAAGTTACAAAGCCTCAAGGGGAGAGGGGAATGGGAATATTCTGAAAACAAGTCTTAAATGAGTATTTACTAATCAAAATGTCAAAAGGATTGTCTAGATAAGTACAGATTACACATAGGTAGAATCCAGTTTGTCTGGAACAAAATGGTGCTACAGCATAAACACTAGAGTAATATTGACACTGGAGAAAGACTCATACTCCGTCTAAGGATACAGAATGAGTCAACCCATTGGCAAAGGAAGATGACAAGGACACTTGTCTCTCCTGATTTCGGTACAGAAATCATACTTCTCCTTAGAAAGATTAATCACACTTCTGCCCTATCTTGTGTTTGGGAAAGCCCAAACTGAGAAACTAAACTAAAATGTGGTTTTCCATGTGACAGAAGCAAACATAAATCCTTTTCAGAAGAACTGCATCATAAGACCAGGCTGCTCACACTTTTTATAGGTGAAGTTCTGTTTAGCCTAAACTCATATCCTGATATTACAAAATACATGGTCAAATAAGTTTTGTTGAATAACAGTCAGTTGAAACATCCCAGAGAAGAGATGGACTCATGGAATTTCAAATAAGGGCATTTGTAGACTAAGAGTGTAGCATAAGAATATTGAAAATGTTCACAAAACAAACAAAGATTGAGGACTCAAAAACCTGAAAAGGAACAAACTATTTATCAAGGAAAAGCTGTCGAATTTGTTGCTTAATCCCTTTAAAATGCATTTCCTCATACTCTCCATCTTTGACTATCAATTCCTTCTCCTAGGAATTATTACTGTCTTCCTGGATTAATTCCTATCTTATGGGGAACTCTCCAGGACACTACAGGTGGGCTACATGTCTTTCTTCTTTCCACTTAGCCCTGGATCCTCTTTATTAACATTTTATAAGATGTCAAGGAAGTATGCTCTGATGGTACAGTAGTTAATCAAAAAGTCAGCGATTAGAACCCACCAGCCACTCCATGAGAGAAAGATGAGGAAGTCAGCTTCCATAAGGATTACAGCCTTGGAAACCCTGTGGGTCAGTCCTTCTCTGTTCCATAGGGTTGCTGTAAATTGAAGTCAACTTGATGATAGTGGGTTTAGGGTCCATTAAGTGATTAACACATTGTATGTGTTCATCAAATATTGATATTAATTTTACATTTCAAAGAAAAAAAAATAAAAAAAAGCACATGAAATCAAAAAGAATAGGAAGAAATCCGAAAGAACCACAGGATAAGTTGGAAGCTATAACCCATAAACAATGCCTATTCTAGGGAGAAATCATATAAAATCTATTATTTATTTATTTTTGAAAAATCTTTTGAGAAGTAATTAAGTCTTTTAAAAACTTAAAAAGTTCAAATGGAATGGGGTCAACAGAAGGCTGAAAGTAATAGATTGGGTTCAGAAGAGCCCCAGAAATGTAAGATTTCCCTTATAAGGAAGGAGCTTGCATCTGAAATGCTGGAGCTTTTATTCAGATCCCAAATTTTGACTGTGGGATTAGAGAATTTATAAATTGGAATACAGTTTGAATGTGTCTAAGAACAGATTTGAAGGAAGTAGAAAAGTGATTATAAGGTTGAAAGAAAAGAGAAATGATGGTTCTGTTCCCCATTCTCATTTCTTCCCTTCTTTTCTCTCTTCTTTAAGACATCTTCTTTTACCCTGGCATCAATATCTGTTTCCCTTTGTGGTTTCTGTCTGTCCTTCACCTAATCTAATGCAGAAATCTTTTACTAACATTCAGTTGGATAGCATAGTTTCAATTAAAACTTCCATTGTACAAACTCAAACCTTGCCCCAAAACTTGTTCACTCTTTACTGGTCCAGTTTCGTCCCTATCAAGTCCTTTCCAATCTTACCAATATAATTTCTGAAATATATCTGGATCTTTTTTGTTTATATCCTGCATAGTTTCCCTAATTCATACACTCCTTTATTTTAATCAATATTTCATCAGCCTCTAGATTTGTCTTTCTGAGTCTGATCTCTTTCATTTGTCTTGCCTCTAAAATGGTTTTTTAGGCTCCTGGAAACATACATCTTAAAACTGTCTTTAGCTAACTCCTATCCAAAAATCTTCCAACTGGATTTGCAGGAAAACTCAAATTAAAGAAAAAAAAAAATCATATCCACTTTATGTTCAATTAGTTCTCTCTGATGCTTCTGTATCTTTGGACAATAGAATTACTTCTTTTCCCTTACTGATTCTCACCCCACCTCCCACATGATGAATTTGCTCCAAATGTTTCCTCTGCCCTATCTCCCTTTCTCACATCTCCCTATGGTTAGTTACATACTATCTTCAAAGCAAATTTAAAATATAAATAACTTTCTGAAATAGTCTCTGATTTTCCTACATACGATGTTAACAAATTGAAAAATATACATTTCATCCTTAGACATTTTCAATAATCAAATGAAACTTGGAAAAATAACTAATTGCTATCAAGTTAATTTCACCCTATAGTGTCCCCATGTATTTCAGAAAAGAAATATATGGAGTTTCAAGGATATAATCTTTCAGAAACAGGCCACAAGCCTTTCTTCCAAGGTGCCTTTGGCTGGATTCTAACTTTCAACCTTTCAGTGAGTAGTCAAGCACTTACACTTTTGCATCATTGGGGCTGTCTTAAATGGAACTTACATTATTGCTAATTACAGTAAATTTTCAACTCTTTTTAAATATAATTTCCCAGAAGAAAGGACTCACATCAACTTCAATTTTTCTTTCTTAAAATAATAATATATGAGTAGATGGCAGAGTGAACCAGCTAACACTTAAGAAGGCACATAAAATAGATAGTATTAACAACATATAATTTTAGTTTGATTCCAACAGCAGCATGGAGCTCTAAGGGCACAGTGCCTAAGGTCTTCGACTATTAACCAGAAGGGTGGCAGTTCAAACACACTAACCACACCACAGAAAGAAGATGAGGCAATCTACTTCCATAAAAATTTATTGTCTTGGAAACCCAGCAGGGGTTACTATGAGTCAGAATCAATTCAACAGCATTGGGTTTAGTGAGTCCATTGTCTTAAATTGAAGACCATCAAAAAATTTCAGCATATATCTGTAATTATTACTGAAATAATCTCCACCTTTTATCATTGAAGTAAATTTTCTTTTTAAGGAAAAGTTTACAGAAAAGACTTTAAAAATGTAAAGACTTTAAAAGTCAAATATAATTCTGGACAATTTTTATATTGATTTACTGAAGCATATAATAAATATATCTTCGTTATAATAAAATTAAATTGAGTGTGAGATTAATTAGTAAATTGATAATAATATGATTAATTTTTCATTTGAAACAAAGTATTAACTCACTTCCTTATTTAGCAAAGGGACTTGCTAGATTTCAAAATTTAAAAAATATACAGAACAAATACATCTTTAATACTTTCATAAAAAGTCATACTTGCATTGATTTATGTCTACAGATATATTAAAACATGAATATTTTGGGAAAACCCTGGATAACTAAAATTTAAGGTCATGAATAGCCACTACTCTAGTGACTTAATATGCAAAGTTTCTTGTAACCAATCTTGCTCTGTGGCCACAAGCAATTCTTTCATTTTGGACTCAAATGTCAGAAGTTAATAAATGGTTTTCTAATGCCAAAAGTTGTGTTTTGAGAGGATAGATAAGGTCTGACACACTGTTATCTATCTTGGTACTCTCTATTTCATTTTAAGCTTTCAACTTAGGCAAAAGCAGTGAAACAATATTTGTGTTGGCTTTATTTATAAAAGAAAATTATATCGACCATTTCTAATTACAATTTCTATATAGGATTGGGTTTGAAAATAAACTGGCATTTACAAAATCTAATTTTCATATTTTTCTCTTATGTATTTTCAAAAATTACAATATCTTAGAAAAATGTTTGATGAGTATAAATTTATATGGATTCACTAGATATAAGGAGTGGTAATGATTAAATAACTGTCTTCCTTATAAATAGATCAACCATATTTTTAAATTAGAGATGGAGTTGAAAAGCCATGCATGCAATATATGATTTGGCAAAGAGTTTATTTAAGTTCAGAAAAAGTTTTAATCTCAAACTTAAAAGTGAAGCCCAAAAAAATCTGTGTCTACTGCAAATGAAATTCAAAGAAAAACATGAAATATAAATACTAAAACTAGGCTTGGATAAATTTAAATCATTTACCAAAATCAATAAATATTTAATG